AGCCTCTGGAGTAGCTGGGACTATAGGCACCCACCACAATACCTGGCTATTTTTGTTGTTGTTGTTGTTGTTGTTGTTGCAGTTTGGCCAGGGCCATGTTCAAACCCACCACCCTGGTGTACCCACTGAGCCACAGGTACTGCCCCCTAAGTAATTCTTCAAAGTCAATATATTTAACATTTTTATGTGTGCACCCCACAAGAATTTGGAAAATCCATATACCTCCCACACTGGCTTTGCAGATGGAGAAAGGGAGCCATGAACCAGGGAGCGCAGGCGGGTGGCCTCTGGCATCTGGAAAAGGCAAAAACACAAAACTCCCCCTATCCTCCAGAAAAGAGTACAGCCCTGTTGACTCCTTGATTTTAGCCCAGGTTCTGACTTTTAGAACTGTAAGATAATAAATTTGAAATGTTTTAAGCCACAGAATTTGTGGTGATTGCAGGAACATTAAGATGCTAATACTTGAACTATAGGCAAACATAGGTTTTCTTGGCAAGGATAAGAAAACCGTAACTATGTGTGATTTATAGTATAACCATGTGTCCAGAATACCACTGCTTCCTATAATATAGGAAACATAGGTAATATTAATTTTATATTGTTGAGTGTAGTGGCACAAGTCCTGTAATCTCAACATTTTGAGAGGCTGAGGGAAGAGGAGCACTTGAGCCTAGGAGTTGCAGTCAGCACTCCAGTCTGGGTAAAAGGGGAAGACCTTGTTTCTCAAAATAAATAAGTAAATAATAAATGAATAAATAAAACTATAGATCAGCTAATTCACAGTTGTTATATTTACTACATTTGTTATGACTACCAGTAGCGATTTTTTTTTTATTTCAGTAGATTAGAGGAATACAGGAGGCATGGAGGCATTATACAATGCTAAAGTCGGGCTTTCAGTGTACCAGTCATGAGACTAGGATACATCGTACACTATCGGTCCCTCACCCTTCTCCCAGCTTTCTCTCTTCATAGTTTTCAATGTCCATAACCATATGGGCATATTATCATACATATTCCTTGTTTAGCTCCCACTTATAAACAAGAACATGCAGTATTTGCTTTTCTATTCCTGAGATTCTTCACTTAGGATTATGGTCTCTTCTTCCATTCATGTCGCCAAAAAGACATCATTTTATTTCTTTTTATGACTGAGAAATACTTCATGTGATTTTTCTAATTTCAACTCAATTCAATTCACATTTTGTACACAATGTATAGGGAAGTGTGGGATATTGGAAAAAAAATTATTGAAGCGTGGACCCGAAAATAGGATCATTTATCTATGAGTGGAAGACGTGAAAAGCACTTGCAACTGACCCTGAACTCTTTGACTTTCCAATTCAATGTTCCTCTTTGGTCTTTTCCAGCTACACACAACAACCATAGCCACTCCTTTGGTGTTATTTAATACTCTTCCACCATCAAGATCTCACTTGAAGTTCTCTTATAGCACAAATTCTTATTTGTCTTTGTTTCTTCTACCTAACATTTTTTTCTTTACCCTCACCATGATCTCCTGACCCTTTAAATGCTTATCTCCAAGTCTTGCAGCTGTGTCTTGGTTTCTCTTGGGCCATTCCTAGGCTAGACACCACGAAAATGTGAAGGGGCCAAGGACCACTAGGTGGCA